CACACACACACACACATACACACACATTTACACTCCCCCCCTCTCTCCTCACACACACAGTCCATTTACCTGATCCTCAGAGATGATGATGGGCTCCGTAGCCACAGACCAGATCACGGTCTCATAGCAGGGCGGGGTAGTCAGACTGCCGTAGTAGCGGTAGTAGTCGGTTCGCTCCCCTGAGGGCAGCAGATCCATCAGAGGGAAGGTTGGGATCACCATGTGCTGGTCTGGGGGGACGATAGGACGAGGCGAGAGTGAGTGAAGGTATTCCCGAGATCAAGGAAGAGGAAGAAGAGAAGGAGAGAAGATAGAAGTAGGTTGGACCCTGACAATATAATATTAGGCTGACCAGTTTGACCAACTTGCAGAGGTTTGGGGTTTGAATCCAAAGACGAAGGGGTGATAGGATCCAATTTTCCTTCTCTAATGAAATATAATATTGCCCTCTGTAACAGGGTACAAAATGATCCGCTTTAATGAAAAAGTCGAAATATAGAGCTATTATGTTTGAAAGGGTGCGTTATAATAATCAGGGTTGCCAGCTGGCTCTGACAAAAAAGCTTGAAAATGTTATTATATTATCATAATATAAATCGTTAAAGAAGATATATGACCACCACCAACCCTCTCTCCAATCCCTTGTTCTCAAGCAGCACGTTGATGGGACTGCCTGAGGAGGGGGTGCTTGGGTGAAAATGAAATTCAGTAGAGTATTGAGGTAACAAAAGAAATAGTTATTGGGATACTATACCATGGAGACAAACTAGTAAGGAGATATGGCGGGGTAAATATGAGTGCAACGGGTTTTTCCAGCGCCCTGACTGAATGATAATATGACGGAACTCTGTACCGCAATCGATTGGTCGCTTTTAAGGACAAGTGGGCTTACCCAGATTTCGGGGGTTTCCAGAAATCTTGACCTACACCAAAAGTGGTCATTGCCCTACCTATAGGAGAAGTTTGGTTTCATTGGTGAGTGTATTTGTTTGGTTATAGCTTGTTTTTTAATGAAACTGAACAAGGGGCAAACACTTTACCTTCGATTTTCTCAAAACCGCATTTTTCGGGATAGCCCCCTTGTGCTTAAAATCGACCTATTTAGTTTTTAGTTTTAGTAAGAGTTACGGCACTTGCAACAAAATAATGTCAAATAGGTGCCGCAGATTAGAGGTGTTACAAAAGAGTAACAAACACAAAAAGAATAAGGGGAGATAAGGATGATAGACATTTGATAGGAAAGAAGAAGCAAACCACACCGGAGCACCCGCCAACCAACCACACAATTAAATTAAATGTAAATACAGAGTTAGCAGCCCTGTAGGCCATTGCTGCACGAAATGCAAAGAGTTAAGGGCAGGAAGATGAAAGTAACATGTGCATGTGAGCAGGTATGTGTACGTGTATGTGTGTGTGTATGAATGTGAGTATGTATGTGTACGTGTACCTGTGAGTATGCATGTGAGCATGTATGTGTATGT